AATATGGTCAATGCAAAGGCATTAAATCAAAAACAAAGGGTGCCCAGAGAATATTTGTTTGCTTATAATAGAGATCGTAGAAAGTAAGAGGAAAATAAAGAGGGAAATCTGAAAGACTTAATCAAGTATTCAAATTATATGGACTTGAAATGCAATAAAGAGACGGTGATTGCTTTCAGAGAAGAAAGACTCAAGGTCCTGCGTAAGAGTTAACTTTGGAAGTGTTGACTTGGCCAAAAAGTTCCTTCTGGTTTTTCTGTAGCATCGTATGGAAAAGCCCCAATGAACTTTTTGGCCAACCTGTAGCACTTGTACATTATTCTAGAGAGGAAACATGGATACTTGAAAAAGTATAAATGGACAATTCACTTGGCAGTTATCAGAAGTATACCACGTGCCAACCATGGAGCTATGCTCTAAGAAAATTTTTAAATGAATAAAATTCTAACCTAGACTAGATTCCCCTAGAAGCAGACCTTGAAACAATGACTTAAGTAACAATGATTTACTTGTATGATGATCTCAGGCAGTACCAGTAGGAGAGCAGGACAGTGAAATATGTAAAGGAAAGAAGCCAGTGATTGAGCAGGTTACTGCTGTGGACAACTAGAGTCCAGCCCCAGTTAGTGAAGTCTGAGTGAAAGTGAAATCGCTCAGTCGTGTCCAACTCTTTGTGACCCCATGAACTGTAGCCCACCAGGCTCCTCTGTCCATGGGATTTTCTAGGCAAGAATACTGGAGTGGGTTGCCATTTCCTTCTCCAGGGGATCTTCCTGACCCGGGGATTGAACCCAGGTCTCCTGCATTGTAGGCAGACTCTTTACCATCTGAGCCAGCAGGGCATCCCTTAAGTCTGAGAGGTGGTGAAAAATACACCTGAGGGCTGTTATGAATAAGGGGCAGTTATCTCCCACACCTCATCCATCATTGGCTGATTGACTTGTCAGTTCTCTACGGTAAGATTTCTACCACCCTACTAAAATCATGTTCTGCATGGTCTTCAGGAAATCTCTTGTGGTCAAAGCCAGTGGATACTTTTGGCATGGGTTTTGGGAGATCTGACTGCTTAGGTCCAGGTGTTGGCTCTTGCACTCACTATCTATGACCTTAGGCCAGTTCTTTAACATAGCCCCTATTTCTTCATTTGTTAAATGAGAACAGCAGCAGTAATGACACAAACAATGATACCTACCTCATAAGATTATCATGGTGGTTAAATGAGTTAATACATGTAAAGAGCTTAACACAGTACTTTAAGCAGAGAGGGTATTCAAATAATGTTTTATTATGATTTGTATTAGCTCCTGTGATGTCTGTGGTATATAAAAGTGTTAACCACATTTGTGTTTTTGAAATTTTCTCTTATCCACATTTCATCCATTCATCCATCTGATTGACTACTTATGCTGTATCTTGTCTTTGTGTTGTATTTTCCAGGACTCCATCTTTAACCCTCTGTTTTGCTCAATCTATACACCATACCAATGAGAATGTGTTCATATTGATGGCTTCAATTTTTACTTTTCTCTAGTGATCTCTAATCCTGGATTTCTCTGTCTCCCAAAATATTCAGCTATGCTGTAGCATCTTCAGTCCAACTGACTGAAATGATAGTCCTATATGGAAGATCCTCAGAACTTTCCACTGGATCAGTCTAAGACTGAACTCATAGCCTTTTCCTTAGAACTGTTGATCTGTATTCCTTGTGAAAGTGAAAGCGTTGTCACTCAGCCATTTCTCTTTGCAACCCCATGGACTGGAGCCCACCAGGCTCCTCTGTCCGTGGAATTCTCAGGTAAGAATGCTGGAGTGGGTAGCCATTCCCTTCTCCAGGGGAATCTTCCTGATCAAGGGATCAAACCCTGGTCTCCTGCATTACGGGCAGATTCGATTCTTTACCACTGGACCACCAGGGAAGCCCCTTTATTCCTTGAAGAGATAATAAATAACACCTCCATTCAACAGGCACCAATCAACCAACAGCCAGGGAATCTTAGACTCCATTGTTTCCCCAGTGCAGAGGGGTAGATGGATTGTTGAGTAACCTATAAATCTGTTTCTTTAAGTATTATCTCATGATCATGCACAATTGAAGGTCAGAGATGAGAAAGCATGTCTTTAGTGGGTGCGTACCCAGTAAACCATTTTCTGTTACTAATTTATACACACGTGACCCTTGGGGATGAAAACCTTCATTGCTGTGATTTGAACAGGCATTCAAATGGTATGTTTGTCTAAAATGATGCTATAGACTATAGACACTTCCTTCTTTTTCCACAATTAAGAAATATCTACCCATAAGATCGGAGAAACTGCTTTCCTTCTTTCTCATATAAAGTGATGGCCTTTTAAAAATATAAATTATGTCTATCCTGTTGAAATGAATATAAGATGCATAAAATATTCACTGGCATAAATGCAAATGGCTTACCATGTTTTTGTCAAAAAATACTAGGCATTCTAAACATTTTAATAGCATAGTAAAATGTTACCAATTAAGGCTAATTAAGGCAAATTGTAATCATAGGCTTTTAGAGGAAAGTCAATTTTATTATTTCCAAATACATGTAATATGCATATAACAATAGGCCAAGGAAAATAAAGAAGTGCCAGCTATGCAGAGCAAAATAGCCTGCTATGATAAGTTGGAAAATGGTTTGCAGTCAGGTTATCAATTGTTTCTATGATTGATAATAAATTCCAGAACACTTAAAGAGACGTTTGCTTATATTTTAAATTGGTTTTTTATAATAGCATTTGCACTAGTAAATTTGTAAACTGAAGATTAAACAGACTAGTTAATAACTGTAAATCTCAACTATAATAAGTGCTATACTATCCAGTGGAGGAACAACAGCAGTGCAACAAACAAACAAACAAAAAAAGGGTTTTCATAGATTACAAAGAGGTACTGACATTTAAACAGAGGGTGACATGTTAAGCAAAGTTGAAATATAATATGCTGAGTGGATTTGGAATGCAGAGCAAACACCCAAACCAAAATGAACTCAATAAAACAGTATCTATCATGAGTGTCACTTACTCAGTTTTACCTATTCCAGGCACCAGATTCTTTCATTCATGCCACAGGGACTAGTCTTGTGGGGTCTATTTAGCCCTGATGGCTATTTATAAAATATCTCAAGTACTTCTTTAACTCATAACTTCGAATAATTTAAGAGAGACAACAACAGATTTAATTAAGAAGAACTAAGCTTATGCCATGAAATAAGAAGCATGATACTGTGCTATATATATTTTATTTGTCCGTTGCCCATCTCTACCTCATTCTCCACTCTGGGAGGCTAATGTGTGTCATCAGTGGTCTCCCATGTCCTCTGGCTTCCAGTTGATTTAGCCACTGGGGAGTGGGAGTAGTAAATAGAAGAGAGAGGGCAGAGGGGCAGGATATTTATTCTCCTAGTTCCCCACCCATGAAGTTGCTTCAGGCTATGTCCCTTGACAAAAGGTTACTGCTCTTCTCAAGGTGCTTTCTTCTTATGATTCTCAGCTTCTGGCCACTTCTCCCTCCCCTGATGTCTTGGGCCTAGATGTGGTAACATCTCCACTGCTGTAAGACCCAGTTTCTTATATTATCTCTGGTGATTTTCCTACACCCTGATTGTGCTATAATTCGTTCCTTTGTAAATAAATCGTTCAGATTATCCAGGCCAGATCACAGAGGAACATGTATATCAAGCTGAGATATTCCACAGGACAGTGTGGGGACATTGAAGGGTTTAAGTGAGGGAGTGGGGTGATTAGATTGATCTTCCTTATTACTGGGTCTACCATGTGCAAGTTACATTGGAAAATAGACTTGGGGCAAAGAGACTATGTAGTCTATTGCAAACACGTAGGCAGAAAATGATAGAGTTTTGCATTGGCAATGTGTGAAAACAAGGAAGGAGTTCTGTATGAGAGAAATTAGTAACCGATTATATATGGTGTTTTGCAAGGCTTAGGGAAAATTCTAGAATGCCATGTTTCCTGCTTAAGGAATAAAATAGTGATTTTATTACTTGTTTTCTATGGCATTATTTCCATTTTATGAAATCAGCTTAAAGAAAAGATTGCATGACCCTCAAAGAAAAGAAAAAACAATCTTGTCATGTTTATTTTGAATATTCTAAAATATTTCAGAGTGGAATCTATAGGGAATTGCTATCTTTGACTCACAAGGATATAAAAAAATAGCCTCAGTGTAAGTCTGTCCTACTTGTAGAATATAACTGGCGTGAATTCTAAAATATTGTTACAAGAAGTTTCTAAATATTCAGGAAAAAAATTTTGAGACCAAGTGGTTTACTTGGGAGTTGAGAGAAATATCAATAGGGGAGTGAGGAAGTGAGATAGGTAAGGCAAGACAGCCAATTAAGGATGATGCATAATCAAGCAGGTTACCACGATGACCCACTAGAGCTTTATCCCACTGGGAAAGCTCTGGAACCTCTATAAAACACATATCCCAAAGTTATCTTCCCTAGCATCAAGGGTGCTATCATGTTCATACCCCAGGGCCTACCATCAGCCATTGATGAGAGGCTGCTTCTGGGAGGCAGGGTGGTGAGAGAGTGGAGAGGGGATAGCAAAGCATACTCTTGGGGCCAACACAAAGCCTGCAAGCAACCAAATGTCAGTGATGGTATTGGAAGTAAGGCTGCTGGGCACTGAAGTGATAAGGGTGGGGGATTTGGACATTCTGTTGTAGGAACTTGCAAAAAGGTTATTCATATTTTGCTCCAGAGATGAACAGAGTTAAATTTTTCACTTATATTATTGATGTTCTAGGTCACTTTCAGGAAGTTGACTTAACAAAAACTCATGTTTGCCTTAAAAAAAAGTAAGAAATACTACTGTCCGTCATGCTAGCTGTAACACCATGAGCAATTTCTTTTATAAGTAATATAAAATGTGAGATAATATTTGGATGTTAAATTTCATGTGTCTTCTCCAGACTAGCATTTACCCCCACATATTCATTTTTCCTTCTCTTCCAGTTGAAAGGATTCAGAGTCAGTGGGATGAAGTACAGGAACACCTTCAGAACCGGAGGCAGCAGTTAAATGAAATGTTAAAGGATTCAACACAATGGCTGGAAGCTAAGGAAGAGGCCGAGCAGGTCGTGGGGCAGGCCAGAGCCAAGCTTGAGACATGGAAAGAGGGTCCCTACACAATGGATGCAATCCAAAGGAAGATCACAGAGACCAAGGTTAGTATCAAAGCTATGTTCTTAAAATAAAATACACTGGGTAAAATTATACCATGGATTAAAATTTAATGTTTTTTATGTAAATTTATTAAAAGAAAACATAGACTGAGGAAAAAAATCTATATAGTCTTCTTGGATGGGGTGGCTTCCATTTCTGAATTAGTCATTGTTTGGACTACCCCAAGCGACACAGCTTGTTTTTAATACTAGACTTACGTGAAAAATAAACCCTGAAATCTCAACAGCTGAGTACAGTGATGATTAATTCCTTGGTTGTGTCATAGTCCGATAGAGGTCAAAGAACTCTTCTTGGGAGCTTTCCCCTAAATGGTGAGTTGCAGATTCAGGATTTTCTAATTTTATTAAACTATAATTTTAAAATCATATCTGCCCTAAGTCACCAGAGAAGAATAAGAGAGTATGTGGTAAAGACATAGGGTTTTAGGGCCAGGCCTCCAAATTGTGGACATGACTTCCATCCATATCCCATTGACCAGAATTTATTCCAAATTTAATTTCAGGAAGAATAAGTTGGAATAACAAACTGGTGAACTTTTAGCTACTCCTCACCATAGCTAGTTTTCCAAAGGGTCTGAACAGCTAAGAAGACACAATTTTTATTTCTATGACAAGAATGTTAGAAAGTCATACGTTTGTAGTATTTCACAAACAGTGCATTTGTTGGAGGCATCATCTAGATGAATAAAAATTCTCTTTCACAAGATATTTGTTGCCACTAAAATTTTCTCCCTTTGACAAGTGTAGATGAATTAGGAATTTCTAAGGATAGTTTTTCCAATTTCTCATTTGATTATGTGAAATAGAGAATCCATGTGGTTATTCTTGAGGGTTGTGGTCTTATCTGTCAGGTACTCAGTATGTCAATGCTAATTCTTTATTCTCTCAAAAATTTAGGATTCTATGAATCTAGCAGATAATGGAACAGATTGGTTAATTGATAAGGGGAGATTATATGGAAAAGTAGTTTGAACTGGATCCTTGGGTTAGAAATGAGGGGAAGGAGAGGTGAGAGGTGTATAAAGATAGAATTGATCAGGGCAAGAAGACTCTGAAAATTGGCAGTTAAGAAATACTCTTAAAACATAAAAGAACCCTAAAGTGATGGCAAGAATAATTAAGGTTTAATGGCTTCTGAAAGAGCAAAGGGCTTTAAATAAGAGACAGAAAGACTTGCAAAAGTAAATATGACAGGAGGAAACAAAACAGTTTTTTTATCAAAAGAAGAAAGGTTTTTTGGACACCTAAAACAAAGACAAGATTATATTGTAGTTGCTATCCTTATCAAACTTTTGAGATAAAAATTTTCTTTTGAATAGTCAGTCTAAAACTGTATCTTAAAAATGGCTAAGCCATTATCTTTGGAAATTTATGTTTTTGTTTGTGATATTTAGGAATTTAATGATATATATTGTTACAACTTCACTGTAGGTTCCTAACACAAATAAAGATGACTAAAGCTGTAATTTTCATGTTCATTTCCTAAATGGCATATGCTAAAACTAAAGTAACACTGACATTTAGCGAATACTTGGTACTTGTCAAAAACTATGCTAATCACTTTGCATGTATTGGATTAGTTCATCCTCCTGAAAACTTGTCATGAAAAGTAGTATTATTGTTCCCAGTTTACATATAAGAAAATTGAAAGCCTAGTAAATTCTCTTAATAGCAATAGAGTTGGAATATGAATGCACAGCAATTACTTTTGTAAATGAACTCCCAGATTTCTTCTTTAACCCATTATCTGTGTGGCTAAAACAGACCAAGAAAACACTGTAAGGATCCAAAAGAGAGAAAATTGTAGTTGTGAACTGACAAATAAGATTACCAATGAGCCAACAGGTGGAAAATGAAAGCAGTGAAACAGCCTACTAGGGAGAAGTTTTCATATTCCGTTTTACTGTGGAAAAACTAAAAAGATAAGTGTAGATTGTATTCCATTTTTAATGAAACTACAGTGTTTAATTCTTATAAAAGTCAGGGAGCCTGATAAAGTGGAGGTCTGCCTTTATGTCTACTGTGTTATCCCTCCTGAGTGATATTAGCTGACTTATCACTTACAATTTTCTTTTAGGAAAAAAGTGTGAAAATAGACATAATAAACACTGGCTAATTTGACCAGAATCTCCTTGCTCCATGAATTCTTTCTTACTCTCTGTATCTAGGGTTAGCATAGAGATGGTGAGCCTAATAAGGCCGTCATCAGACTGTATCTGTAGACTTGTAGAATTGTAATGACAGCAGCCAGCCTCCCCTGGAGTAGCATTGCTGATGACTGCCCTCCTCATCACAATGAAATGGTTTCAAAGCCAACCACTGGCCCTGTTATACTCTTTGAAAACTGAAATCAGTTGTCATACCTGAACTAATGAAAAAAATCACTCATCATTCTGATATTGTAATGATTCATAATTGCTAACCTTTGTCTATAGTTTCTTCTGCTTCTTATCTACCTATTTTTAATTGTCTTCATATTATAGATAAAATTTTGAATTCTTAAAGGTAGTATTATCATATAAATATATATGCTGCTGTATAACTTTTAATAATTATCATTTTAACTTTAATATTGCATTCAGTTCCATCTTTCACCATTTCCCTTCTAATTTAGAAAACCTCTGCTCTTGGTTAGACAAAATAGTGGAGAAAACATAGAAATAACAGCCCCTTCACAAAGTAAAAATCAAATCTGAGATGGCATCTGAGAAAAGTACATCTTGAAAACATGTACAAGTTGGAAAGAGATAGCAACAGGAGAGTATTTGGCAAAAGAATAGACTGTAGATGGTCCACTGAGTCAACAGTTAATGAGCAGATCACTAAGAGATGCCCATAATGTATGTCTAGTTTCTTTCTTTCCTATAATAATGCTGAATTTTTTGTAAACAAAGCATAAAGTAAGTAGGTGATTTTGTTAACTGCACAGCTTCATTTGCTTTTCTACATGGACCTAGTAAAGTAATTTTTTTTGAGATGGAAAGACAGATATTAGGGGAAATCATGCAGGATTTCCATCTTAATCAAAATATTTGCCAATAGGCTATAGCAGAAGAGATGATGCCATTTAACTTTTGTAAGAAGTAAGATGGCACACCATTGGCACCTAAAACTGCCAGCAGTGGTCATCTTGGGCTTTCTTTTATTTGGCACAATCTGAGTTTACTCCACAAACTGTTTCCCAGGCTGTTAAGATTAGTCTAAACTTGGCAGTGGATTCTTCGGAAAAAGTATTTCTTAATGATTTTAAACTTTCTTTTCCGGTGTCAAGAGAGATTTACCCAGACTCAGAGTTTTCATTTATTTTCCCCCCTTTCAGCTTTTGAAAGAGCAATTCCTTTTTTTGTCTGTCTTGTGATTGCTTTTGTGTCAAATTCAGCATAAAAGCTTTTCAAAAGTGATGGAATTAGCTGTTTTGTGCCTGGCTGAGCTAAGAGTACATGAATTCAATAGTGAAGTGAAATCTTGTTTGAGCCTAGCTGATTTGGCTATATAATACTTAAAACTATCTGAGGTGAGAAACTCAGTAATTTATCAAATTATTAAATACAGATTTCTGAGACTGTAAAATACCTGGTTTTGAAGACATTGATTTGGGAACTGGAAACAGAGTGTAATCATGTAATTAATAATAATTTTAAAAGTTGATCTTGTATGTAGTAAATCTGGTAGCTTTTTGAGGATTGCAAATTATTTTACTAGAAAGAAACTAACCAGGGAGAACTTCTTTTTCAAACATAGATGCAGAGCCTGACCATTTTCATTATAAGAGAGAATGAGTGGTATTAGATAGTATCTTTATCTACCAAAAAGATATATATACAGTAATGGAAGCTAAATCCTCCTTTCACATATTTTATTTACTATTTATATGAGCATAACATTAAACAAGCAAATTGACCCTAATGGTAGTTTTAAGCTTGGATTTCTGATACAGTAATGACAAATTTTATTAGAAAATTTCTTGCTAGGATCTGCCATTTTTTCATGCATTTTCTATATTTCCTTTTGCTCTCCCTTAAAGATTCCATGTGATTAAGGAGAAAGAATCAATACCCAATGGTACTTTTCCTCTCAAAGTATATATGAGTCTATTAAACTTCTCAAAGCATACAGAGTGCTTCCTACATCACTGATAGAGCACAAGAAAAATAATGGGTAGTTTCCCAGGTCCTACTATAGAATATAAATATTTAATGCATTCACCAAGACTTGGATGGCATTATGCTCTGATTGCACCATATTTTGCCTTAGTCCCTTTTCACAGTTTAACTTATTCCATGCTTGAAAATATGATGTGGCAACTCTGTAAATCCACTCCTCCGTGCAAGCAGCAAATTGCAAAATTGTTAAAATTGCTTTTTCTAAACTCTGGAAATTAGCCAAAGGTTGGCAACAATATGTAATCTAATGAATTTCACTAAGAACAGCTGGGTGTGAGGCTTTTTAACTTGGCCTATTCCCATCACTTTCTTCCAACTACACAGTAAACTCAAAAATAAACAATCTAAAGCTACCAGAGAAAGAGAATAGAAATTATATAAAGCATGTTTTCTGACCACAACAGTATAAAACTAGAAATCAATTACAGAAAGAAAAATGGGAAAGGTGCAAACATGTGGAGACTAAATAATATGCTAGTTAAAAAGCAATGGGTCAATGAAGAAATCAAAAGGGAAATCAGAAAATACCTCAAGACAAATGAAAACATGAAACTCCAAAAATCTATGGGATGCAGCAAAAGAAGTTCTAAGAGGAAAGTTTATAGTGATGTAGGCCTTCCTCAAGAAAAAAGAAAAATCTCAAATAAGAAGCCTAACCAGCCACCTAAGAGAATTAGAAAAAGAACAAAACCAAAGTCAGCAGAAGGAAGGGAGTAATAAAGATAATATGAGGGGAAATAAAATATAAACAAGCAAAAGAAAAGATCAATGAAACTGGGAGATTTTTTTTTGAAAAGACAAACAAAATTGATAAACGTT